CACAACACACTCAAGAAAAGATAGAAGGTCTGATCTCTCGTTCACTTTGAAATTCTGGTTGTGTTTGTACTGATGGAAGATTACTTTTATAGCGTTACATAACAGATCTGACATTCCCTTGAAACGCCCTATAGTCCTGATGGTATATGGACCATTATCTGTCTCACAATCTGACCTCGTCTCCATAGGCCTCTACATGTTGCTATATCGAAAATTCTGTTTCCATGTTACAGTTTTTCTTGGATACCGTATACTAAAAAGGTAGATGTTTAGAGTGGTGGTTCCTGGCATCTATAAAACCATTATCTGTGTCATAGTCTTATGTAAAATAATCTGACCTTGTCTCTATATGTTGCTAAATCTAAAATTTTGTGTCCATTTAGTGATTCTTCTTGAACCCCATGTACTAAAAAGGTAAATTTTTACTGTTCTGGTTTTTGGAAACTAAATACAATCTAAAATCTAAATGTTATTCAGATACAGGGTTAGTTTGGATAATTTTGTAGCTATACCGCTGTCATTACGCATGCCCAGATTAAACATGTTTTTGTCTCACTCTACCGCAAAGAAAGCCTGATTCTCTCCATGAAGACAATGGTGGTTAATTACATTGTATTACTGTATGTTAAAAGCTTTCTTGATAGCACCACTCTTTTTCCACAATATGCCATTTCTGTGCGTCCTGGCAGTCAGACAGAGCCCGAGAGTGCGCTCCGGAGATGTTTAATCTAACACACACTGGGAACAGGGACATGAAATGCATATCTCTATCTCGTCTGTCTCCCTGAAGATGAAATTTAAATTTTAATGCATTTTCGTTCGCCCAGGAGAGGCTGATAGACACCGGGATGTCATATTTACCGTATGAAGACCCGTGGTTTAATGCACTCTACAATACTGCCATCTCCAAGTTCTGCGGGAACAAAACACGCTCTACAACATAAAGGAGAGAGCCGAGGAGAAAATTATTCCACGAGCTTTCTATCAAGCTTTCTGCATTCATGGCAAAGTCTAAAGGCCATGTCAGTCCTCCTGCGTCTGAGAGAGGTAATTATCCTTTTCCTGTCACAGAACAACAAATGATAGCCAAAGATGGGGGTGCGTTTTCAGGGCGCACATTCGTTAATAAGGAGCCTTCATTTTGTAGCAGCTGCGGAGCTACTTTTATCATGTTTTTTCCAATGGTCATTTGTTATATGTTTTTTTTCCACTCACAGACACACAAGGTAGAGCTGTTTGTTTATGTATGCCCACTCCTGAGGGTGTATTTACGTGCCCTGCATTAACATAGCTATTTATAGTCCTACACTTTCTTACAGTCATCTTTTTTCTGTTGTGACCATTTGGCAGATTATATATTGTCCAAGTAATTTCCCTTTCAGCATCTGTGTTTTTTACCTTGCACAGAAAGCAGTGAATGGAGGGAAAATTATCACAATTACTCATATAATTGAGCAGTCTTTGTAGCAAGTGCGGCTTCAGTAGCCCCTTTTTCCATCAGCCAAAATGGTTTCATTATATGGGTTTTTCATATTCCCTGACACGGGGCTGTGCTGAGGGCCTGGCGCGTGGATGAGATGCAGGATGAACACAGCGAATCATTAAGGCCACAGTAGGAATAATTATCCCAGCTATGGAAAGAGCATCTACAGCCTCTTTTCTCCCTCGGTACAAATGCAATGTCCACGGCTTTTAGTCACAAAGAACTTTGTTACAAATGGAGCTTCCACCTTCTACTTATACAAAGACGAGAGGGGGAGAGCAAGACTTGTATCAACATGACAATTTTCCATCATTAAGACTAATGACAGGCGCAGGCTGTGGGATCAAGGGGAGCACAAAAAGGAGCGCGCATTCAGGTGTTGGCTGAGTGCTGACCTCCTTCCTGTCTTTGTGCGAGATTTAACTCTTAACAAAAACTAAAAAGGGGGTTTCAGACTAAAGGCGCAGTGGCAGCTGAACGTCAAGCAGGCCGCCTCTCGTAGCAAATGACTTAATTGGCGAATTTGCATTTCCCATTTACAGACAGATTAATGCAACACATATAAAGATGTTTAATCAATCATTGTTTTATGTTGATCAAATAACCCCAGAGCCAGTGCGCTGTTCCGTGCGGCTGACCACATTTTTCCTAACAGGTGGATACTTCAGCATGCAGCGCGGTGACACTAGTTTCTTTTACAGTTTAGTTGAATTAAGTAAAAGCCATATTTTCCAAAGTCCTTTCTGCCCAGCCTTCACTCAGGTAATTGGTCATTTTGCAGCCAATTTCAGGCAGGTTGGATGCTGGCCGCTGTGCCGTGACCCCTGCTGCTGCTGTAATGGCCGCCAGTGCGCCAGGGGCTTTTCCACCGCGCGACCCCACCGAGCTTTCTGAGAAGAGAGCGCCTCTGAACATCCCACAGGTAAAAGGAGTTGGAAAAATAACTTCTCGGCTTTGAAATGACCCGTGTCCAGGCTTATTACATTGGTGTTAATCATGGTTTACTCTTGTTCAGACGCACGAGGACTGTCTCTAAAAGGGCCAATGGTCTACTGCTTTGGACCTTAGATAAGAGTGTTAAAAGCACACACAATGAAAGCAGTGAAATTTCTATTTTAAATCTTTATTACACACATGGCAATAACATGAACATGCAACAAGACCATTAAAAGATCCAAATGCACGTTCCTCTTCTTAATCCTCTGCCACCTAAAAGAAAACAAAAGGATGATTAGTCACCAAAATTCTGTTGTTAAATGTTAGATCAATATGTTACACTGTGTAATTATAGCTTACTGCTCTGTACCCATGTTTTTTTCGTTATCCTCTTCCCAGAAAGTTGACATAACCTCAACAGATGTGAAAATAGCCTATAAAGCAATTTAACTTATCATCTAGTCAAAACTGATAAAGCTAAAAAATAAAGAAATGTGTGTTCAAACGAGGTAATAATAAGACGCATGACCAGACTTGCACAAAAAAAACGAGAGATACGAAACATAAATCAAATAATAATGAAAGCATTTATGCCTATGGTTTCATGTATATCAAAATATAATTTGTCTTAAATTAATTATACATTCAAATCATTTTGAATAACCTAAACATGCTTGAGGTGGTTGTTAATTTACAATACAAATACGAATAGCCTATGTTTCTAAAAACAATCGAATCTTAACATAATTTTTTCTCTTGACCCCTACTATAATAATACAGCCAATTAACCAATGGGACAATGCAGCCGGGGCTCCATTGTGCGTTTTCTTGCACCTTACTAAACAAAATCAATCCGCGTTTTGACGCCACATTGCACATGGAAATAGGCTCAGGCTAATTGTGGTGCATCTACTTTGCGCTCAATGACGCTACAAATTACAGGACGCACAACACAACACAGGAACAAAACAAAAGGCAATTTCATTTTATTTTTGAGCTGCATATAGTGATGACTTTGTCGATTAGATGATTTTATGGCAATAAAATCCATGATGCAAAATGAGAGAGGTAAAAGTAGACTATATTTTGGGGGTTGGTTTGCGCGTCACTGTGCGTCATGCAGGTGAGTGGACAAAGATAGATTCAAAGGGTAGGTTTCAATATTTCAGAAATAGAACAGTTTTTTTCTTTTCTTTTTCTTTTTTTTTTCTTTTTTTTTTTTTTTTTTTTTTTGTAGATTTTGACCACTCTACCTTTTTTGACCACCCTCTACCTGTTGCGGAGAGACAATCCCGGCTGCTGTACTTCATTTCTTCATGAAATTAATACTGACGGACTAAAAGTTATCAGAAACACACTAATAATAATAATACTTCATGTTATCACTGTAATTATTTGCCTGTTATTTTATTTCTTGACAATATTTGGTATTATAGCCTAGTGTGCATATATGTTATCGGGTTCATTAAGTAATGGGTGGGCTTTTCTCATACTTTATAATGATAAACGTTGATCAGATCATATTTGTTCCATGCGCTAACTTGTCTATATTTGAGTGCGTATAATGACAGGGATTCAAGTGACACAAATTAATGAAATGTTTTACGCGCGCATTATTGACATGTTTCACGTGTTGCTTGATATAATCTGTGTTACTTTGAGGTTTCTATCAGCGGCCTCTCAAATGAAGCCCCCTCCTCCAATGCCTCCGCGCCTCTCCACCTCTGCGCTAACCCTCAGGTGAAGAGCAGCAGGTGTTAAAACACCCTCAGCCACAGAGCTACTCTGTTCTAATGAGCACTGTCTCCGCGCGCCCCCATGCGCGTGCACACGTGCGTGTGTGCTTGGACTTTTATTTTTAGTGCCTAGGCCGAGTTAGAGCCCTGCTGTGGCAGGACGTGAAGCATTGGTCACGTGACAAACAAGTGGTCACGCGCCTGGTCCCGTCTTAATAATGACTTTGGAAAGTGTGCGTAATGTTATTCCAAGTGTCATAGGCCTAAATTCATAACATATTTAATTATTCAAATTTAAATCGCAATTGCCTTGAAAATAAATATATATATTCTCGATATTTCTGTATTGGCTTTATTTTACATTAGTGCGCACATTCTGCCACTGTTTCCTTAATGGTTTTGCTCGCAGTCTCGTTTCAGTTTGCAGATCCTATAATCGTGGGAAAATAATGACAGTTATCAGTCGCACCCACCAAGTACCCATAAAAATCTGTCCTCTGTTCTGGAAGATGATAATTATTGGTTGTACTACCATTATCATTGTCGTTGTTGATAGAGGAAATCTTGAAGCATTTTTTCCAAAGTAATTCCAGAGAAATCACTTCAAATTGGCCTATTTCGGGGGGACAAGGGGACCAGCTTGCTTTATAGCCTAATATTTCACAGAAATCTTTGAATCCAGGCATGAGCTGCCGCCTGGCACACTTTGGCACACGCGTCGTGATGTCAGCGGCTGCATTTTGATAACGCGTTTTGCAACTTGCTAGTTGTGTTTTGAGTTCAATTATGTAATTAGGCTGATAATGACAGTGAGGGAATTTAACTGGCTTTAATTTGTTATTCAGGTGGAGATAGGAGACTGTGGATAGAGAGCGCGGCTGTGTCTCTGCTCTGTGCTCAGACCGAACGCTTTGGTGGTCAGGATGAAGCTCGGGAGAATGAGAAGCTGCCGCGGCTGTGCGCCTCGCTCCAGGCGCATCCTGCGGAGTCTCTGTGACCCCGGAAGGCGAGGACTTGTCTACTTCTTTTCCATCACATGATGCCTGCTCTGTAAGTGTGCACACATCGCTTCTGTCTCTTATTGTAAGCTCCCACTGCTATGCGCTTTGGATGGCTTCAGTTGAACCAAATATTCATTAGTTATGAGGAAGTTTTGCGTTTGGCCATTCCCCCATTTTTCTGGGCGCACAGTTCCGCAAAACTGGTTTCAGTCCATAACCTATATTTTTAAAACAGTATTTTGTCGCTAGCTGCATGATTTTGTAGAGTAATTTTCATGTGTGCATGCCTTAACCAGATTTTTTTTCCCCCAACAGAAATTAAATCGGCCTACTTGTCTTTTTATTTTGATATTATTTTATGGGCATTTTTGTAGTGATCAATCAAAGTTAAATCCACGACTCTCTGACGTATTACGTTGCAGGCTATTATTTATATTATTTTTTTCACTGGTCATAATTTCCTGTATGATTAATTCTTTCACATTTTGACTTTCTTCTTTAGACCCGTTTCTCTCCATTTTGCCACTGCCCCATTGCTGCCAGGTGTACCTGAAACCCCAGGCCACATTAAGTGTTAAATACATGTATAATTACGCAGCTACTTATGAAAATGAAACCCCAGTCTTATGCTAATAGTCTACACCTTTATTAAGACCTTTAATCAAAAATCTTTAATCAAAGAGTGCAGCAGCAGTAGAGATGCTTTAGAGGGGCTATGAATTGTATGTAAATCCTACTATGATTGTAAATAAATAAGTGAATAATAATAATAATAATAATAATAATAATAATAATAATAATAATAATAATAATAATAATAATAATAATAAATGCGTGGTCGTGTCACACATATATGTGAGGTTTTTGGTTTTTCTTGACTTTCTCAGCTCCTTCGGACCCAGCCCCAGCGTCGCCAATCCGCTTCCCTCTTGGAGAGAGTGGACCAATCAGCGAGCGTCTTTGATGAATATTCATGAGTCCGAGATTCAAACCTTTGAGCGACTTTGTCTAGGTCCACAGCATCATACCTAGGACTTTTCACGGGCACAAACTACATTTTCTTATGAATGGAACGAGAAAAAATCTGTTCGCCTTAAATTGGGACCCGTCCTTCACTGAGATCATAGAGGCAAAACAACAAAAGCGAGACGAGGGGAACCGCCAGAAGAGATGACAATGACTACAATTCCTGAAAGTCTTAATAGCCCTGCCTCAGGAAAAACCGTTTTCATGGAGTTTGGACCCCCGAGTCAACAAATGTCTCCGTCCTCCATGTCTCACGGACACTATCCCATGCACTGTTTACATTCTGCAGGTCACACTCAGCACGACAGCTACAGCCCTGCCTCGTCTTTCCCTAGGTCGTTGGGCTATCCCTACGGCAGTCATCCCACCAGTCCGTACCTGGGCTCCGTGCAGACGTACCAAAACAGCTCTGCGCTCTCACAGACACGGCTAGAAGACACAGGTAAGCTGCACCTTAAGTGCTTCACTTCAGTTGTCCTAACTGCTGCTCGGAAACCACGAGCCAGATGTTGAGGTTGGTAATTATTTATTGCGTAACGCTATAAACAATGTATGCAATTAAGGGTAATTATACCTAATGTACAGCCTGTAAAAGTTACGCGGGGCTCTTCATTCCAGCGCAGCTCTCACAGTGTAACTGACTCCTTGCTTCTTTTACTTTGTTCTCCGTCAGTGCCAGAAGCGGAGAAAAACACTGTGGTGGAAGGTGGAGAAGTGCGCTTCAACGGAAAAGGCAAAAAAATTAGGAAACCAAGGACTATCTATTCGAGTTTACAACTGCAGGCTCTGAACAGGAGGTTTCAGCAGACCCAGTACCTAGCGTTACCGGAGAGAGCGGAGCTGGCGGCGTCTCTGGGGCTCACGCAAACGCAGGCAAGTCATCGCTGTGCATGCCGTCACTCTGTATGCTCCTATCTTTACATTAGTAAAACACACAACACTCAAATAAAATACAGAGTATCCTCTATAAATATAACTGTATAGAATTCATTCAAATTGTAATTAGACAAATAGACAAATATTCTTCGCGACGTATTTTTAATTATTTTTGCGTGCGTAGCCGAACTGATGGATATACGCCATGGAGCAACTGTATCAAAAACTAATTAATTGTTGCCTTAATAAAATATAATGACTCGATCCTGATATTGTTTGGAGTTGAATAACACAGTAACCCATTGTTTCATATTTGTAGCTGTTTGTTTATTTATTTTCACCACCGTTTTTATGTTCTTTTCCATGAACCTCATATTATAAGAACATGGCATCAGCTGTCATCTCTCTAAATACTGACTGAACTGTTGGTTCTCCCATCATTATAATGCATATTCTCTGCTTATTCTCATCACGTCTTTATTTATTATTTACGCGCAGGTGAAAATTTGGTTCCAAAATAAACGATCCAAGTTTAAGAAGCTGATGAAGCAGGGGGGAGGCACCATCGATACCAATGCTTTGTCCAGTGGCCGTGGACTCTCCACGGGCTCCCCGTCCGTACCTCCGGTGTGGAGCTCTCCCACAACAGTTAAGACGTCAGCGGGGTCCACCGGCTCCTACATCCCCAGCTACACTTCTTGGTACCCGACCACACACCAAGAGTCTATGCAACAGTCGCAGCTCATGTGAGCAAACGGCGAGCTTGGACTCGGACTCTATCGCGGCACGTGCACCAGGACGTGGCGCACGGTCAGGCCACGCACAAACCGAACCCGGAGCACTGAGCCTGAGCCGAGGCTCCAGAGGCGGGGGCTAAAGACTGAAGGCGAGGAGCCTGAGGGCGACAGGGCCGTGACGATGCGCGGAAGTCGCACAAGCGGATCTTTTGGCTGCTGTTTATCATTGTGTCAGTTTAGATTTATTTTTATCACACGTGAGAGATTTTCTATTGAGCTGCAGTTTGGGCCCACGGAGCCGCAGCTAAACTAATTTAGACCAAAGGTGTTCCTTTGATAAATATGTTTGACCACAGCAGTAGTTTCAGCAATGCCTCAAGGTGCTGTATGTTGTTACTCTGTGTTTGTTATTTAAGTTAAATTATTCCGATGAATTTTGTTTCTTTTGAAGTCGGTCTGTGTTCAGTCTGTGTTCCAGAGACAACACTGTTCTAGCTGCACTTAAGTAAAGCTTTCTATGCCGTGCCCCGGTGTTATGTGAAATGTAGAAGGCCTGACGAGACGTGCTGCTTTGAAAAACACGTGGATGTGATGAGCAGTTCTTCTGTCACTGTATTTTGTACATATTTCACATTTGTTTTGTGCTGTACTCAATACGCTGTGAAACAAGGTCTTTTGGCTTTCTGTATCTGTCGAGATGTGTTTAGTCAACATAGAAAATATTTAGTTTTGTATTGATCACTTTAATTTATTTATGTTTATGTACATAATGTTCACATTTTCAGAAGCAGTAAAAGTCTGATTTAAATTATGCCATAAACGTTTGACTGAAGCCTCCTCTCTCGGTGTTATCGTAGCACACCTTTGATTTATGACTGTTCAGAGCTGAGCACATGGCTACTCACTGCTCACAGATGTTGTGCAACCTCAGCACATAACCACTGCAGTCTGCATAATTTATAAAATTACATTGTGAACTGACATTTGTATTTTAATAAACGAATAACGTGTTGCGCGTAATCTACTGCGCTAAGCCACATGACCGCTGAATAAACCGCTCAATATTGATTTATCATGCGCGTTGTGGGAGACCTGGATTCAATCAAGACGCATAGCTCTTTTCACTTTCTACAGACTTTCTATTTGTCGTCTGACAATCGCGGTTTTGTGCAATGAAAAGGCGAGATCAGTTGTGTGAGTTAAGTGAATAATTGCACCATGGGCAGGTGCTGCCAAAAGACACGGTGCAAAGAGATGGACAGCAGTGAAAGATCAAAGACCTGACCACGAACCACACTCAAGCCAACACTGTTTATTATTATGAAATTATGGTTAAAATTAGATTTTCAGTTTTTGTAAAACAACATATGTTTCATTTGTTTGTAGTGTACAAAATTAGGTCTGTGCGTAAAATGCGCATGCAGTGCGTAAATTGTAACTAAAGAGCATAGGCTATTGTAATTATTTTCTCCTTTTCTTTATTAAAAAAATGAAAGTAGTAGATCCCACGAATATATTGTTATTTTTATCTGAATTGATAAAAATAACGAAGTGTTACATTGGCATGATTAGGCCTTTTTCGTGTTTTATTTGTTTTATTGGCGCATATTCTTTTGTGTCTTGTTGTTAGGCCTATAACAAAGGCTAACCCGTGATGTGGTTGGAAGCTATGTATTCATGAGTTAGCATTTTAGAGTAGCGACATGTTTATGTCCGTTCGCTTTTACGCGCAGCCTCTGTTGTACGTGCTATGTACCAATTGAATTCGTATAGGTTCCTTTGTGAACATGTCAGAAATATGCTTATGTATATTCGGGTGCATTAAAATAATATGAATTGTGTGCTGCTGCTGTTGTGGGGAACAGAATTGGTGCGTAGCTAGCCCTAGAATGGCGCAGCTGCACACCCAAGAGGGTCAGTGTTATTTCGCTGTATTCTCCTCTTGATTATACGAGCTGAGCCCATCAAACCCAGCATAATTACAGTCATTTCGCCCTTATTTATTCTAATGCAGTTTCCTATCTCTGAGGTAATTATGAGTATTTTTTTTCGCGCGGAGGATCTTTCTGAATTGACAAAAGAGATAGAGCTTTGAAAGAAAGTCTCTGCTGCAAAAGAAAAAAAAAAAAAAAACGTGGAATAGGTGAGGTGCCTTTTCGTCACTGTTCCCGTAGACTTAGCCTATGTATAAGGCTGGCAAATTGCTCGCAGGTGTACATCACGGAGTTGTCAATGTGAAGAGGTTTCAAAATGAGCAAAGCACAATGGCAGTAATGAGAGCAACGGCGAAATTAAAGCAGTATAACTTCTATCTCTGCCTTTCCTTTCCTCCACAGCGAGAATTTTATTCCCACCCAATAAGAGTCTAAGTGTGTTATAGCGTTCACCAGAGATAACGCCGAATAGAGTTATACTTTCAAGGGGAACAATCCTTTGAAATATTTTTATAAGCACATAAAAGATTTTTGTTGGATGAATCACAAACTGCACAATGTAGTGTATAGATTGAACTGAAAGAAAGAAGCGTAAACCGGGATTTATTTCCTGTTTTGGCAAATTCAGTCTCTTTCTTGCATTCTAAAGAAAACGTAAGGAATAAAAGATACACACCTTGAGGCTTTGATGATTTCAATGGCCATGGAGGCAGACGCGCAGCAGCATCCTGTATCCTGTTTAAATCCCCCTAAATGTGTGCCATGTGCCTGGCTAAGCTATAGCAGCGCGCTTCAGAATATGACTGAAATCTCCGCTTTATTTCGCCTCTTTATAGCTGATGGAAAAAAATGTAGATTATTAGCATAAATGTTTACTCCTCATTACGCTGATGACATTGTGCACTCGAGATCTTGGTAATCTTTGGGGGAAATTATGAGTAATTTTTTAAAATTTAAAGCAGCAGTTACCATGCAATTCAGACTAATTCTGCGTAGGCTCCACACGGATATAATTATCGTTGAGTCAAGATGTGAGGCTAAAAACTATGCATTGATATTCCTATTTATTATGTACATGCAACTCTGACAATGTTGATGCTTGAAATAGCGGGAAATTGTCTTGTATAAAAAATTACACCCCATATTAGGACATCTGAAATTGCAAAGAATTATATAGTAATTGCAGGCTTTCACAATTGAAAGTCAGCTCAAATGTGGATAAAATTACAGATGGGTATAAATTAGGATAGCCTGGGAATGACATTTGCAGGTTTGGATCGTCTATACGTTTGGCTGTACAAGCAGAAATGCACCGTGTTCATCATAAAACACATGAAATTAAGATAATGTAGAATAAATGTGTGACTCATTGTTGTGCCAATAAACGATTTGCGTCCGAAAAGCGTAAAAAATGTTGAAGACAGAAGCTCAGGCAGAGGCGGCTTCATCATAAGTGTTTTATTAAAGAAGTGGCAACAGCTTGCTGGAGCTAGGACAAGCCTACAAGGAAATGCTTTATGGGCGCGATAGACGCAGATGACGTTGATGGTTATCTATGTAGCTAACTTGTAGTCCTTAATAAGAGAACACAATACACGTGCTCGTACATGCGTCTTTTGGCCTCGTGCCTGTTTCCTGAACCATATAAACAATGTAGGTCACACTGCACGTCGTCGGAGAGATCACAGAGATTTTCCATGATGCCGTAGCTTCGGGCTGTCTGGTCCAGGACCCGGGACGTTCCTTTTGCTCTTGTTAGACTGACTTCATAAAACGTCTGGAAGCAGCTCGGTGTCTCCAGCGAGTCTGTAGAGCCGCGCTTGTTCAGTGTTCACAGCCACCCTCGGCTTTCTACTCTTGGATCGCATGCCAGGGCGTGTTGCAGTGCGCCACCCCCAGAGCTAGCCGTGCGCCCCGGGCCCTGCCTCTTGCCTGCCAGCCTGAGTGATGGAGCCGCCAGTAATATCTTTATGAAGAGACAACTGGAGCTGTTGTGCTTGTCCGCGCCTGTTACTCAGTCTTAATGTGAGTGTGTAATCACAAATAAGACATTAAAAGGCACATAAAATCAATGCAGCTTGTAGCATGCTACAGTTAGATAACCTGTGGCTGTATTTTAAGTCGGCATGGTTGCTAAGGAACAACATCATTTGCCTCAGACCTGGAAACGCCGCCATTTTTATTAAGGGCAAATAGCTTTTTCATTTTTATAAATGCAATTTTTAGAGTGATATTGGGCTTGCGACCATTTTCTTTAACTGGATAAGCAAAACATTATATAAGGTTACAGAATAGACATAAGTAGCCTAATTATAGCCTATAGGCTACAAGGCTACAGTGCACAGTGTAGTTCTTGAGTATTTGAAAAATAAAATATAGCCTACCGTGTAAGATCTATCTAATAGTAGTCTATTTAAACCAAAAGTAATTACCAGATAAAACAAATATAAAAGAGAGATAATTGCACAGAAAACATTTTTATTTAAATAACGTCTTGTCGTATATGAAACACTGCTAAAATAAATAAGACAACATACAAATATGTGTGTTACAAGAAAATCAGAGGGTAAGACAATCAGTAGCTTAGGTTGGATAATGGCTTTGCACCAAGAGCTTCGGAGTCATAGCGGCACGGGCGATTAAAAGCTGGTAACATATTTACAAACGAGGGTCTGTGGAAAGTTAAAAACGTTTTAAAATAAGGAATGAATTAAAGTAATCTTTTTATCGCACAACAAATGAGGTCATTTTGAAAGGCACGATACAGTTAACTTGTGCTACATTGTGTGAGGTTGTCCTGCAGTTCATGATAGATATGCAGGGGTGGCAAAAAGTGACGTCCGCGTAAAAACAGGCTTGTGTCCAGGCTGGGATTGCTTTGGATATAGTGGTTCATCCATCCCTCCACATAGACAAAATAAATAAATACAAAAATAACTGTAGTAATCTGCATCTACCAATGTCCTTACACCATTTCGGTTCCGTTCTGTTCATGTCTTGTACGCGCGTAAATTACGCACGGCCCACACACGAGGTCTGTAGAATGAGGGTATTGGTATGCTTTAGTTTTCACCAGTATCGTCCTTTCAAAATATCGTTCCGGCGCTAATGGCGGAGTTGTGGTGGTGCTGGACCAGCGGGGGCTGCAGATGCGTCGTAGAGTTCGTGGGTGAGTACCAGGAGTAGTTCGCCAAAAAGGACGGAGGCGCAGTGGTGTTGGGCGGGCTGCTGCTCGGAGGTAAACTCGGGGTGACACTGTTCATTCTTGGAGTCTGTGGAAAGTCCCACGCGGTGGTTGGGGGAGAGGAACAGGGGGGAGACTCACTTGAAGCAACATGTTGCTCTGGGGGGATTTCTCCACTTTTCCATAACTTCTTGAACTTGGAGCGTCGGTTTTGGAACCATATTTTAACCTAAGAAAATTACATTATTAGTACATTATAATATTGAATTATGCTCTTCATTATTGGGACAAAATAAAATGGTGCGCACAGAGTAGTGTTTTTATAAAAGCACCCACCTGTGTTTGCGTCAGGCCCAAAGACGCCGCCAGCTCGGCCCGCTCCGGTAAAGCCAAATACTGTGTTTTCTGAAACCTTCGCTGCAGTGCAGCCAGCTGGAAACTGGAATAAATGGTCCGAGGTTTTCTAACCTTCTTTGGCTTTCCATTCACCATTCGGATTTCTGGCTCGCTCTCTTCCTTTTCTAAGGGGAAAAACACAAATGTATATTTTCAATTAACATTTAGGGTTATATATTGTCATGTTATATAGGCCTACTGTCTTACTTTGAATAACAAAATTACATTTCCAAATAATATTACTCATTATAATTGCACATCACGTCAGCGTCACATCTGCAGGCTACAGAGGTTCATGCCGCAGTTTTTTAAATTATAATCATATTTTTAAAAAATCTAATCATTACAGTCTTACCTGTGTCTGCTGGAGTAGGGGACGAGTTGGAGCCATACGTGCTGTACGCGCCATAAGATGAGTTAAAACTAAGGTCGTACGACTTTGGGTTGTATGGCACGGCTCCCGCGGTGCTGCCGTGGTACTGGTAGCCGAGTTGACCGAATGGCTGGCTGTTGTAGTAGCTGCTGTCCGTGGCCGTGGACACCGGCAGTGTAGGAGACTCTTGCGACTTGTGCAGACTATGGTAGTTGCTTGAGGTAATCTGGTTGGAATGCATATCTGTGTTTAAATTCTCAAAAACCCCAGTCATTCTGAAACTGCAGCCTTGCGCAAAATGGTCTCAGCGCTATTTGAAAAGAAATAGAAAACACTTAAATCTCGCAGTAACGACGCATCCCCGAGCAAACCGTAGGGACAAGAGCGAAAGGTTTGTCTCTCCACTGTGGCCTGTGATTAACTGCTACGGTCGCTGGTGGGAGCGCATTTATGGGAGAGCGAGAGGGAGAGCTTCTGTTCCTCAGGCAGCCAATGGCTACGAGCTGCACTCCCCACCTCGTCCATCCCCCATTATAGGTCCAGGTTGTCTCAGTGTCCTACTTGTCTTCACCGTTTTCTATCAAAGCACCTATGAAGAATTAGGCATGGACCATGACCAGGCCTGTTAAGACTGAACATAAAATCATGCTTAGTGCAGAACACACCAATGTGCGCCACATTGTTCGATCCACTGTGGAACAGAGCCTTGGAACATTAAACTTCTCTGGTTCAGCATCTGGATAAAATAAACACTGATGAAAAAAAATCCATCCATTTCACGCTCTAAATTACGTTTTAACAACGGTGTGGTTATTAATCATCCGAGGTTTACGTTTGGGTAATAATATAATAATAATTATCCACAACCTTCACACACAATTTTGATCAAAACACTGAGGTAACGTCAGGTAAGGCAACATTTTAACATTTCATGTAACATTTTACGCATTTTCCGCACTATGGCGTACAGCCACTCGAACGAGTCTATGTGAAAAGAAAACATACCAACGGTGCCCCCAAGTGGTATAAATGAGAATTGTAGCTCAACGTCAGAACAGCTCTAGTAACCAAAAGTGACTTGTAGCCTGTTGTATCACCACCTGAAACGTTATGTTGAAAATACATGCACAAAAAAACGCAGAAATGGATTTTAATTTAATCGTACAAAGTTATTTATGTTACAGTATTAACAAAGGGTGGTGTCCATTGCCACTAGATGGTGCTATTGTTTCTTTTAACACTGTGTGTAAAAATAGCAGGTGTTTCTAAATGACATGTCTCCTACTCCCGCTCTACCCAACGCTAGTAAATAAGGCATGTTCTATATAATGTACTATTTATTTGTTACACGATTTCCTCTTTTTCATGCCCTAGAATGTGATGTCACTGTTTCTAGATGAGAGTAGAGAAAAAAAAAAAAACCACAACAACTATCAAATGACAATAATGCATTCTGTTTATATTTGCAGATTTTTTTTTAGGCCTCTGACTATCATTAAAGCTGTACTATGTCATTTTTTCTGGTGAAGGTTCTGCCACCTGTTTGTCTTCATTTTAGTGCTTTGCCTGGAATGTTTTCACAGTTCCATGGAAACAAGTGATGCCACCAGGTCAAGCTACAGATCGGATCTATGGAGTGTTGGCTCACAGTATCCCACTGTAAGAATGCAAATTTTTCTAGAGAATGTTGAGCAATAAATATACCTGTAATAAAAAAAAAATGCATGATACAAAATGTAACACTTAACTGTTGAACACTGAAACGCAATAACATCTTGGAACAGGTGGCTTACACTACACCGGAAAAGTTACGCAGTGCAGCTTTAACACGAAATAACTGTGTCTTTTGTTTTTTGCAGTGTGGTCAGATATAGAACATGGGTAGCTGCTCTTTCTCTTGGCTTCGAGTCACGACCTGTGTTTGAAAAGCAGGGAGGGCTCTATCACTCTCCTCTTTGTTGTGCTCAAAGGGACTCGGCCCTCTCCAGCTCCGGGCCAAGTGGGCTGCATGTCACCCTCATTAACGCCGCTCCAGTCCGCTCCAGTCTGCCTCAGCTGCGTGGGATTAGAGCCAAAACACAGAAGGCACGTTCACGTAAAATGGCACTTCAAGATAATGTTATAGTGCACATGTATGTTTGATGTTAGTTCAATTACAAAAAGAGGCTATATTGTTGCTTCCATATAGGTCAAATTGGACTTTTCTATATATATTTTATATAGGCTTATCAGCATCAGAATGATACTTATCTGCCATCCATTTTTGACATTTAAGTGTGAATAGAATCATGCATCCAAGTAAAACAAATCAAATGTGGACAACAAGGTCACAAAATGTTCACAAGGGTCAAAACATGACAAAGATACACAACAAAGGGCAGCATGGGGTATAAATGACACATATCATTAAAATAAGACGGCAAAACACAATATGAACAGATGAGAAAAAACAAAAAGAACATGTGACAGATGTTTAAACACATCACACACACTGGAGGTATTCACAGTGACTGGATGTTATCACACAAAAATGTATAAAAAAATGTATTAAAAAAAATAATAATAAATAAATAAATAAAGTAAAAATTTTCTCAAAGCCAGTAAGAGCTATCTCAAATCATCTTCTACTCTTGAGAGTGAACACTTGACTGGGATTGGTCAAATGCAGCTGTCAGTCACTCAGAGCATGACAGAAGCTCTAAGATTTGACTATTAGGAGAAGCAGGTGAATCTATATTGATAGCAGGTAAATTCAACTTTTTTATACCATATAAAGTGGGGCCTGTGGTTCAAACGTGGTCCTTCAGGGGTCTAATTTGGTCCAAAATGAGACTCTGAGATTTTAAGATTAACTATTCTGATCTGTTTTGATTTAATTTTGACTGAAAAGACTGTCGGGAAAGGGGAAGAAGGATAATCTTGTCTATTTCCAAATATTTACAATCAATTTAATCATACATTTCTTTGCATTTTTACGTGCAAACAGTCATTAGGTTTGGCCCTTGACCAACTAATGCACATTTATTTTGGCCTGTTGAGGAAAAAAACTTCAGGCATTTCTGGTCTATATAGAAAATTACTGAATCGCGACATCACAGACACAGCACATCGTCAAATGGATGTGATCGTGATTTGATTCTTGTCACCCAGACCTACTGTAAGGTGTCAGTGCTGGTCTATGAGCAGTGACCAAGCAAAATACAGTGGCTACATGACTAACATAATAACACGCGTAACAAAAATACTGTAGTTCTAGTTCTAGCCAGTCTTCCAAGTTCTTTTAACAGCTTCTTCTTTGGATTCTGTGGATATATAAAACAGGAGCTGTGTTTAATTCATTAAAAGCCAGGAGTGCCACCACAAGAGGTCAGCAGAGTAACAAATCAGTGATAATGAATTGTATTATACCATTAGAAGGTTCCCCTGGGGCTTTGTGTCTCAATGGATGAGGACTAATGGAGTGACTGTTAGCATTATCACGGTCTTCACCAACGTGAGATAGGTCCAATTAGGTTACATCTTATTTGAATTTGTAAAACACACCTGACCTTTTTTTTTTTTTTTTTTTTGAAATTATACATAATAGAAAATAGACAAAAAAATAAATAGATAAAACAATACCCTCCCATAACCCACCCCTCTCGCCACACTCATCACACAAAAAACAATGCAAAAAACGCTGGGCAAATAAATAAACACACCTTACTTAATAATTGATCTACAACAATGCATTAAAGCTGTTCTAAATATACAACACCATTATCTTTTATAGGTTTCAGTGCGACTGGCAAGAGAAACAAATAGTGGCAGTTTCCAGTGGATAATTTAAGGCTGAACCCAAAGTATTTTTAAAAATGACATTTAAAAAGACCCACCCCAGAATCATATAAGTTGTAAACCACAGCGACAATTAAGAACAATTCTCCATCCACTCAGGAAAGATCAGCTCTTCACGTGACCCTCTTGGCTCCATGTCTCTCATAGTTTTTTGTCTTGTTGTGGATTTTGTTGGCCTGAAGCCCTGCTGGGAGTATAAGAGCATTCATCGCCGTAGCAACTCCTCTCTTCAGCTAAATCACATTATCACAGCTTCTTCAGTTTAGTAGCATTTACACTTAAAATACCTCTGCATACAATCTCTACTTATAAGTACTGCATTTGCATTCCATTGTCCCTAAAGCCTCAGATTCTGTGTTGGATTCTTGCTCAGATGGAAGTGATAGACCTTGTGTTGGCTGACCTCTGGGTTAAGGGAGCTGGCTAAGATGGGAGCTTGTGTTTCCTCAGCATTAGTCATGGCGGCCCGTCCCCACACGACACTTATTTTTAACACAAAAGGTTTAATGACCAGCGCTGGTGGACTGAAACAATTGAGAGGAAGTGCTGGGCTTTGGACTCTTAAAACGGATGCACTCTGCAGTCTGCAAGTGTGTGAGCTTCATTATAATGGGGCTTTTAAAATGCTCCATGAATTTAGTTTACTTTATACACTTTGAAGGAATTGCAGTGTAGTAGTCTGGAGTAATTCTAGTGAAAGGTGGCATACCATGATTCATAGCTATCCTGGTTACTATTTGTGTTGCAGGCCCATATATCACCAAAATTTATTTTTACGAGCTTTAAGCCATGTCATAATGTTGTTACCACCTCAAAAACATACTTGGAGTTGTGTTTTGTTTAAGATTTTATTATTAGTTTGCCTACATTTCCAAAGCTCAAAATGCTCTGTTCCATTTTGATACCATGAAGTAGTAGTTTTCAAGTTACCAGCTATAACTTTTACCTTTAGTTCAGTAGAGATTGGCAATTCCAGGGCTGAAATCATCCAAATGATTCCAGTGAAGGTGTATGGAGTTTAAAAACACAATGAAGCAATGAATCACTTCCTGTATTCACTCATGACATCACAAAGTGGAACAGGGTGTTTTCTATTTGAGGGAACAACTCGAGAAGAACTCCAAGATATCCAGGGTTTGTGTGTTAAACAATTGTGAATGAAACAAAACACAACTCCAGGTAAACAACATTATAATCATATGGACCCTTTGAAATTCTAAATACTAAATACAAAGGTACAAAACATTATCCAGGCTGGCACCACCTAGTGCCTCTGCTCAATTTCATTTCTCTCCAGTCACTAGGTCAGGAATGGGAATATACCAGATGTTTTGCAAGAACCCTGGAAGTTGTAGACCATGCACCAGCCAATCAATGAAGAGCTGTGAAGCCATGACTGAGTCCCATTTGTGATACAGCACAACAGTAAACAAAGCGGTCGATATGGATGTAGACAAAGCCATACATTCTGTGTTGGCAACAATTCCTGAGATCGAGAATTTAAAACCAGAACAAAGACAATGTTTGGTGAATGTCATCAAGGGAAAAGACGTTATTGCCCTTCGTCC